CACAGTTTGGGAACCCCTGCATTAGAGTAAGTAACAGCAGGGAGGCCACTACTCAGAAATTAAGTGTCACAGCCAACGTCAACCTCCAGTTTAAAGCCAACTGAGAACACAAGAAAAAAAAGGTGGGGGGGTGCAAGACTGAGAAAGGATGGCAGAAGAGGAAAGCTCTCTCTGCTATCATCTTTCAAAGGATCTGCCCCCAATCAGGTGAGCTAATCTAAGCTAGCATAAACAAACAGCATAAGAGAGTGGGGTGTCAGACATGTGACCCATGAGCCAGACCCAGCCTGTGATGCCATTCAATCTGACCTGCTAGGCTACCAGCAGGCTACTAGAAGCTGGGTGTAGGGCCAGGGGTTAGGCCTACTGCAAAATCTGGGGCCTCTAAACCCCAATGGACATGACTGTTGGCATGTTGGGGGGAGGGGAAGGAGGTGACTGAGGGCTGTGCAGACACAGTCCTTGCTTGCTCTGTAGCTGCTTAGCCCTACCACCACCAGACCCCCACCACAACCGCTACTGGTTCCACAGATCCAGCCGGAGCGAGTTTAACATGCCTGCCATAATGCAATGGATTGCAGAGGAAAAATTCCATTTCATAAAATGTCTTTTCTATATGATTAACAGAGCTGTCAGGCTACAGAGTTGGGGGGCGGGGGGGAAGAAGGCGAGGGGGGAAGACTGCACTAGTTAGTACAGCAGAAAAAAATTCTGTATGCATTCAGACGATATTTGACAGCTCCTTGAAAGACATGCCGAGTTTTATTCAAGATATAATGCCTGGTTAGGTCTCTAGGATAAACAGAATACAAAGAAGTTGTCAATTACTTCCAAGTTCCCACTTTTTCTAAAACAAAATTGTAGAAATCGTTGACAATTGTTAAAGTCATTTGGCATTCATCACCTATCACAGCTTAGTGCTTCTAAGAAAGCAAGGTGACATTACTTCAATCAAGCCTACTGGAATGCACTTAAAAACCCCACAAACCACATCTAAGACACTATGGAACTTAGGGCTTAAAAGAAAACAGATCATATTGATCAGCAGGGAAACCTTAAATTTGACATTTATAGCATTTATATATAAATTAAGTACAAAATGGGAAGCCTTTTTCAAAGCAGCATTTAAAACTGTTTCCATCTTGCTGGGTGAATCCCAAATGGGAGATAAGGCATTTTTCATCATATGTAACACCCAAAGTTTAACTGTTGAACCATCTTCATTTTAAAAATAATCAAAAATCACTATATGTAGACATGGCCAGCCATCTGTGAGAGCAGTTACCCAATTTATATAAACACTTGTACCATCAAATCTTGAAAAAAATCAGAGCATTATGTTATTTATTAGCCTTTTTTTTTTTTTTTAAAAACACACTAACTACTAGAAAGGTCCAGTAAAATCAAAATTGTCAATGTATAATACCCCCCCCAAAATCTGATTGTAGCTCTAGAGGATTACATTTCAGGCACCCACATTATGGCCAAGGCCTATTTTTCCCCTCCAGCAAGAGTTCCATGAAACAAAAAATTATCTTTCAAACGGCGTCTCAGATTCTGGAGCTTTTCCACAGGCTGCCCTTTGGTAAACAGCTGCTCAGGACTGCAGTATTAAAAGCATACCCATGATCATCAAGGACCCGCCTGCTCATCAAACAGTCCATATGCCCATTCTAGTAAGCAGTCATGTCTTTTATAGGATAAATGTAAAGTTTATCTAGATGTCCAACAGGCATAAAACTCTGCAGTCAGTTTTAACTGAGTGCCAAAGCACAAATCTGATTAAGGGACCTGCTGTGTCATTTTTGCACATATATGCCTTAAAGGACTCTTTCGCTTGTGTCAGTCAGTTTAGTCATATCTGCACTGTAAACAATGCTCCACAGAATTAATATTCTATGTATGCAAACCAGGTGCTGCTCAGAAGCAAATATTCCTCCTTTTCATTACTTGTTTTAATGCTACTGGGATGGTATCTGATAAGTTCCTGCAATGAGAGAAATGCCATTTGATGGAAATCCTCTTTTATTTATCTAGTGTTCAGTGGATAACAAACAAAAAATCACCAAGTTGCACTTTACTAACGAATGACCTTTGCACTGTTGGAAAACTAATACAACTACGTAACTACCATATTTACCCGAATGCAGGACTACTCTGAATTTAGGATGACCCCGCTCTCCCAATAATTAGAATTTATATATGGAAAATTTATAAAATTATTATAATTTACCATGTACAGAATATAATTATTGAAGGGTTGTCTTAAGTTCATCCCCCCAAATCAGCAGGGAAAGTAGTGGCAGGGGGGCACGCGTCAAGCAGCTTGACCCCTTGCTACCCGTCTCCCCCGCGACTTGACCTCCCCATGCCTGCTCCCCTACCCCCTGCTACTTGGCCATTCTCTGGAACCTCCCCTCAATACCTGCCTCATGCCTCCCCCACTCCCCCGCAGCCTCCTCTATCCGCTTGCCTCCCCCCAGCCACTTACCCTCTGACTCCAGCTCTGCTTTAGCCTGGAGCACAAAGCATGCTTACTCTGGCCACACCCCAGCCCAATAGCAGTGGCAACAGTGGCAGCAGCTGCAGCCCAAGCTCTGGGTCCCAGCCAGTGTCAGAGGATAAGTAGTAAGGAAAAGAGAGGACAGAGGTTGCAGGAGCAGTGGTGGCATGTGAGGCAGGGAGCACCTGCAACTCTGACCCCAACCTTGAGTCTCAGCCAGAGCCAGAACCACCACCAGCACCCCCCTCCACTGACTTGTACTCAAAACCAAGAGGAAGGAAAAATGGGGTGGGGAGGGGGGAAACAGTCTTAGATTCAAGTAAATACAGTAATTCCCTCCTAATTCCCATCACACATTTTACCTGGAACAACACTCCATTTTCTAAAATACAGTTTAACTCAATTAACCCACTGACTCTTTCCACTTAGCTATTTGGGATTTTTTTTAAAAGTAATCATGTCTTTTTTGTATCTTGTGATTTACTGAAGGCTCCTTGTGCTACAGTCTGCCAGAAAAGGACTTCAGATTAGCATCCTGGAAAAAAAACCCAACTATTTTATACAACTAGTTTGCCATTGGAGATGCTGAATTCTACTAGCTGGTTTCAAATACATTATTTGGCCAAGGAGTATTAGTCACTGATCCAAGGCAGTTCTTTAAAGAGGAGGAACCGCATGCTGCTACTGTTTAGAATCAGTCAAATTCTAAATAAGCCATAAATACTCAAAAAAGTGAGTATGAGAAATTGTTATAGAAGCCAAAGAATAAACAAAGATACAAAGATCCAAGTATTTTCCCGCATGTAATATGATTAAAATTAACAATTGTATAAACAGTCTTCAATATTTTGCATTAAAAGCAAACACTGAATTCCAAAGCTACAACATCTTTCCTGGGGCGAAAGAACCTTATCAAGCAAAGTGATTAAATTGTTTCCAAAAAGCAGCACTGTTTTGTACCTGAGGAACAAAGATCCCTATGACTACAACCTAGCTAACAGTACTTCTGACATGACAAAGTAACAACTAGCTTTACTCATTCAAGTTTACTGCTATGAAATGCTATTTGTGAAACATTCTAATGCTTCACCTCCTCTTTAACTTGAATATAATAGAGAGAAACAAGGTTTCCACAACGCATCTGAGAAATCAATAAACCCCACAGAAGAACATCTCAAACACGTCTCTCAGTGCAATTGTTATGAAATACTGAAACAGAAAAAAATCCTCATTCCCTAAAATTAAGGAATGTCAAAAATTGAAAAAGTTGTAGTACAATGAATGTGTTAGCAGAAAGAAAGGGCTGCCAGCAATCAGAATTAACTGAGAGAGACTATTTTGCACATCTGTTTGTCAGAAAACTCAGACAGAGGTTCACAAGTGCAGGAAAGGCAAAAGCATGGAAGTTCAGGGAATATTTCTGCTGCACCCCCTCTCTTCATCAGCTCTATTCAGCAAGGCGCACACTTCTACTGTCAATTCTGGTCTGTGATCAGTACAGCAGAAAGATCACCACAACTGAACTGGAAGAGATCCTGTCATCTGTTTAGTTGGCCCATACACACTGACTGCCAGTTCTGGAAACCAAGAAGCAAGCTTTTCTTGGCAACACATGAGGCTAATCTCATCACAGAACACTGCGCTGGCAACCAGGAAATGAACTTCTCTGTAGGATAAAGGAGGAATCTTTTTATTTTAATGGTTCACCCACTGTGGGCAAATTGTTTCTGTTCCAGGGCACAGCACTGAGGAATTGTTAGGAGCTGTAAGACTGCAAGCCAAAAGCTTCAATCAAGCTCCCATCTCTACTACCACTCCTTCCCCACCCCCACTTAGTGTGCCAGCTGCTTGATGAGAATTGTATGTTCCTTGCCAAATGAATTTTCAGCAAATGATCAATCAGTAGGCTACACCAAACAACTGATTTCACAAACATCCATGGGATTGTTTAGTAAAGGGAACACCACGTGAGTAATATGAGCAATGGGGAATAACACATTTTATTTATACTAGACACAATCCAACTATGAATGTTCAGGTTTTCCATTAACTCTCATTACAGCTATACTTTTGCTGAAGTCAAAAGGTGGAAGTCCCCAACACTATCACTACTATTCTGTATCATTGACATAGTTAGTCATTCTCGGAACTTTCCAAAGCATGCATGCAATTATTTAAAGGAAAACACTGACAAATCTTTCTTAAAAATTAATTGGAAACCACTGTAGTAATAGAGGGTTGGATCTCTCAAGCAACTGGACTACTGAAATACTTACAAAACCCCAGGATACCTATTTTGACAATTACTACATTAGGGTTTACAAATCCTTTGCAGCTGAGTGAGTGAAGACCACCAAGACATTCAAACTCACACTTCCCTTCTGCTATACACCAGGGAGGGTTTACTTTTAGATTAAAAACAGGTATAATTTAAAACCAAAGACTTATCACTGATAAATGTTACAGCTCTTCTTTAGAAAAAATGACTTCAACTTACTTAATTGAGTTTCTGAAGTGGTCTTCAGCTGGGCTTTTTACCGTGCAACTGTTCAGCAGCCATAAGTCTGCTTCTGTGGAGTTCTCTGGAAGACAGAAGGATACATTAAAGAATTAGAGCTCAAACTAGGAGCTTCTGGTCTATATCACATTCAAGAGATTAGATTTAACCCATTTTAACAAATGGCCTGCTCTCAAAGATGCCCTCGGATTCAATAGTCAAACCTTAGTGCAACATTTTTGGAAACGTCATGCCCTTGGATAATGAAAACATATCTTTGCTATTATTTGTAAATGTAACACACTTGTGCCCCAGTATGCCCCAGAATAGCCCAGGATACCATCGTATGTACTGCGTACGTAAACAATAGAAAGACAGTCTCTGCCCCAAAGAATTTACAATCTGAGTAAAACCCAGTTCCATGCGCAACAGGCAACAGTGAAAAACACAGATACTTGTTTAAAAATATAAACAACCACTCAATGAAGACTGGCACCACAGAGGGACTGGAGGCAAGAGGGCATACCTCAATGTTATCATGTAACATTTTTATCAAGTAAGCATCTCAGTCTTTAATTAATCCTGTATATTCACAGGAGGGAAAAATAATTAGTTATTTAGAAGGAAAACCTACAGTTTTGTAGCACTGATGTATCATTTTATCATGAATACCCTGTTTTGTTCTATTTTTAAACTAAAGCTGCATTGCTAAAAGAGTAGTCCCTAAAGACCGGAAGGCCTGTAATTTTCAGCCAGAACTGAACTTCTTCGTAAAGTTCACAACCCCACACATTCTAAATACATTAATCAAGATACAGCCTGGAGTGATGCTTACTGGCACTCCAATTCTGTTTATGAACAGCATGGTATTATATCAGGGGTGGGCAAAATGGCAGATCTGGCCAGCAGCCAGGCTCCATTTCCTAGGAGACCCTGCCTGCATGGCTGGGGCCAGTCTTCATGGTGACCCCAGCCGCACCTGCGCTGTGATAGCACCAGGCTGGGGTTGCCATGGAAACCAGCCCCAGCCACGCTGTCAGGGCAACTAGGATCTTGTGGTGGGAGCAGCTTGGTCCAGAGCCAGGGCAGAGCCACTATCTGCAGCTTGCGTGCTCCAGGCAGGGGAAATGAAGGCAGCGGATCATGGCTCTGCCCTAGCTCCTTGGTCCTGAGGCAGGGAAGAGCTGCAGTCCGCTGCCCGCATTGCCCTGCCCAGAGCAGGCAGGATGCAGATCGCAGCTCTGCCCTTGCCCCAGACCAAGCTGCCCCTGCCACAAGATCCCAGCGGCTCTGGAGCAAGCCCCTGACCCCCTGTTCTGCCATGCACCCTGCCTGCATGGCTAGGGCCATACTCCATGGCAACCCCAGCCTTGCGCTATCATAGCGCAGGTGCGGCTGGGATTTCATAGATTTCATAGACATTCGGGCTGGAAGGGACCCTGGAGGATCATCGAGTCCAGCCCCTTGCCCAGGGGCAGGAAGTCAGCAAGGGTCATAGGATCCCAGCAAGATAAACATCCAAAAGTATCTTTAAGACATTCAAAGTGGGTGCTTGAACCACCCCCGGCAGCAGTCTATTACAAAACTTGGGGGCTCGGACAGTAAAGAAGTTCGTCCTTATGTCCAGCCTGAAACGGTCACAAAGGAGTTTGTGACCATTCGATCTTGTCATCCCTTGGGGCGCTCTGGTGAACAGACATTCCCCCAGATCCTGGTGAACACCCCTGATGAACTTATAGGTGACTACCAGATCACCCCTTTCAGGCTGAAGAGCCCCATGGCTCTCAGCCTCTTGCCATAAGGTCTGTTATCCTGACCTCTGATCTTGCGCGTGGCTCTCCTCTGTACCCTCTCAAGCTTCTCCACATCCTTTTTGAATTGTGGAGCCCAAAACTGGATGCAGTACTCCAGCTGCAGCCTCATCAAGGCCAAGTACAACGGGAGAATGACATCCCGGAATTTGCTCGAGAAGTATCTATGGATGCAAGCCAGCGTTTTGCTCGCTTTACTAGCCACAGCATCACATGGATCTCAATGGAGACCAGCCCTAGCCATGTGGGCAGGGGACGCTGGAAAATGGAGTGCACTGACTTTGCATTCGCGGGCCAGACTTTGCCCACCCCTGTATTATATGGTATGATAATGACAAGTACGGTATTAGTAACACTTATTTTTACCTGACATTAAAATAAAATTTCAAATGAACTATTTAAAGGAGAAAGGCAATTCTTCATCATCATCCAATACAAAATTTAGCCTCCCAAAATAAATGGAAGATAATCTAGCACTTTCCCAAACATTTCACTAATGTTATCTCTATCTGGTCTCCATCTGATTGGCAAAACACCATAGAAGCAGAATAATATGAGATCACTTTCCTAAGAGAATACCGCTTCATTTACTAAAAGAAAATCCTATGAGCAAGACCTCAGGAGAGCCATTTTACATTCCCAATGCTCTATGGCACTCCTCAGGATGGCTTAGTGTATCGGTTTGGTTGACAAAGCTTCTGTTTCACTTTGCTATTACTTTTTAGCCAGTCTTGGGCCAAGATAATTTATTAGAAAATAATAAAGACAAAATTGTTTAAAACCAAACCAATGAGGTTACCTCATTTTTAACTGGTTGACAGCTCACTAACAAAAAAAATCCTGAATTAATGTGTCAGATAGGTGCACACAGTTCTTCCCGCCTCCTCTACACCTAATACAATTGCAAGCTCTAAAAATAATAGGTATCTGTATTCTCATAGTTCCCTGTAAAGAGATTTATTCCACTTTTGAGTTAACTGTCAGCTGCATAACCAAAGCAGGCAGTAGAGATGCAAATATGCAAACCAGGAACTGTAATAGTCCTTACCCTAAAATGACAAGAAGAGTTCTGAGGGATTTATTTTTTTATCTATGTTTATTAGAGGCTCCATAATTAACGTCTTTTGTCACGTTCAAATACAAAATGTTATAGGGAATCAGGCAACTAGCCCATTCCCTATGCCAAATGCTAAATTATTCAGTCAACTATTAAAAAATACTTCTTAAAAAAAGTGTTGAGGCTTAACTTAAATGCCCAAGAAGCAAGTATTTTCAGCTTCCATTCACAAACAGGGAAGAACAATAAGTTCTAATTTATTACTGAAAAGAACCAGACTAGGACAACCTAAAGGACCTTTCATTGAAGCTAGGATTATTCCTAGTTCCCATAAACCTTTATAGGTTCAAGTATTGTGTGCAAGGTTTTAGAACCACTCAATAGACAATTCTTGCCCTAAATATAAGCATCAGTACATTTTTGGGGAAAGGGAAGGAAGGGAATACATGAAACTACTTTTGAAAGCAAGAAAGGCTGACCCAAAACCTCTTGACACTCAGGAAGCAGTGTGAGAAAAATAAAAACAGTGTTTATACCTGAATCCCCAACAATTATATTCTTTTATTTAAAGTCATCTTAAATTCAAAGGCATGTCTCAGGGCAACAGCAACAATGACCAGTGAATTATAATTTGTGCTGCTTAGCCAGTAAGTGTTTTGCTTAAATGAGTATATTCACACAGTGAATTCTAAAGTGTTGCTGCAATTCTGTTTTAATGTTATTTAAATGTGTTTACTTCCACAGCCACAAATTCTGCATGTAGCTATATGCATCTCTATCCTCATAACATCCTTGGAAGTTGAGGACTTTGGGGCATGATATACCAAGAGTCTAACAGCGTAAGTGTAATTCCAATGGGACATAAATGCACTTGAGAGGTAACAACACAATGAGAAGAGAAATATTATATCATTGTATTTTGACTATTTTTAAGCCTTGGGAAGCCTTTGTTCAGAGGAAGGATTGTCTAAGGGCAAGGATAACAACCCAGAACGAGAAAGGCCAGGGTTCTATCCCCTGCTCTGCCACATTTCCTGCAGGTGACTTATCGTTATTGTGCTTCAGTCCATCTATTACCTGTAAGAATGGAATAAGATTCCCCACTTCATGGGGTGCTGTGAAGCTGACTTTGTTAAAGATTGAGAGGCATTCAGTTACTATGGTGATGGGAGCCAAGGAAGTACCTCAGATACAGACAGACATTTAGACTCTGAGACTGTCAATGTACACCTTTTCTTGTTGTAAGGGCCAGGATATAACCACTGTAATGTCTTTCTGCAATGTCTCTAATCCCTCACCACAGCATACACACATTTAAAAAAAAAAGTAATTGTGCGCTCTGGCATCAAACTGCTCAACACAGCTGAAGTGTACTTGGAAAAAAAAATGGAAAACTTCAGAGTTATATTTATAAACAATATCTTCCAGACGGTCATTAACTTTTCTGTTTTCCTAAATCAGAGTCATGTGATAGTTGTATTAGTTGCAATGAACCAGGCAGTTCATGTTAATCCATGTTAAACGCAGGGCCTCAGAATGTGAAAGGACATGTTTAAAAGAACTACTTATTTAAGTTTCTTACCATAATTAGGTATGTGGGCAAAATATATCGAGTAATCAGTTACTACAGGTTTTTGTCAAGTGATTATCCACATATATGTTGTAGCCATGTTGGTCTAAGGACACTAGCAGACAAGGTTCTTTGAGTAAATCTGAGATGGTCTAATAAAAGATATCAGATTTATCCAAAGAACCTCGTCTGCTTATGTTCATATATAATTCACTCTTGGCGACTCACAAATAGTGTCCTGATGTGCAAGAGGTGGACACCTATCAGAAGGAAACTGTGGAACAGATCTTCTAAAACAGGGATCTGACCTAGACACCATTGAAAGGGAAGAGTGTTTTGTAAATACACTACATGTACAGATCCCCAGGAAGTCCTCTACACATTTCAGCAGTGGGAACGGTCCTTTAAGAAACTGCATGATCTCTGACCTGGCTAGGAGGCTCTAACCTACCTAATGGATAGAATTACCATATCTGTTCACATACCAAAAGTACATTCTCTCTCCCAAAATCAGCACCCCCAAAATTGGGTTACATGTCTGAAGTGCGAAAGCTGGTTTTCTGCCCAGAATAGAAGCATCCTGGAAAGAAAACTCAAATGGGACCCAAGCATGACTTCATTACTGTAGAAGACAGCATATCTTCAGC